TCCAGCTCCAGAGAAAGAGAAACAGCCATTCCAGCAAAATTCCAAATTGGGTTAAAATAATGAGTGTTCTTGCTGTTAATCCTGTGCTGATTGGTTTTGGGGGGAAAAATAGAAAGAAATGGATCTTTCTGCCTTGGATGAAAGGTCCATCAACATCATAACTCATCTGAGTTGGACTCGGAAAAGCAGCAGGGATCCTGCTAGGACTGCTCTGGAAGTTGTTTGTATAGACAGAGAGAGAGAGATGCACACAAGCTTTATTTATTAAAGGTATATGCATATAAAGTTCATTAATAAATACAGGTAGTCCTCAACTTACAACAGTTCGTTTAATGATCATTTAAAGCTACAATGGCACCAGAAAATATGACTATTTTTCACAGTTGTGACCGCTGCAGCATCCCCGTAGTCACAGGATCAAAATTCGGACATTTGTGTCCCTGGGTCACGCAATCCCCTTTTGTGACCTGACCAGCAAAGTCAATGGGGGAAGCCAGATTCACTTAACAACTGTGTGACTAACTTAACAACTGCAGAGATTCGCTTAACAGCTGTGGCAAGAAAGATCGTAAAATGAAGCAAAACTCAGTTACCAATTTTCTCAAGCAACATAAATTTTGGGTTCGATTATGGATTTGCTTAACAGCTGTGGCACAAAAGGTCGTAAAATTGGGCACGACTCACTTAACGACCCCCTTACTTAGCAACAGAAATCCCGGTCCCAACTGTGGTCGTAAGTCAAGGACCCCCTTGCTTCTCCCGGTGGAAGGATCCCGCTGTGTCTCTGCAAGATCCATCCTTTGACCTCCTCCTCTTTCACCCAAAATGTGCCATTTTCCTGTCCTTTACTGTGGCTGGCCTGATGGGGTGCTGGGTGATTCCCTTCTCAGGGTGTGATGACCCAGGGCCCTGAACGGAGGCAAAGCAATTAGCTGGTCAGAATAATTGTCTTTGTAAGCACTGCCAACGTTCACCCAACAGCCCCCACCTATGCTGGCACAAGTTCAATAAAACAGTCAACGGAGTTCAACAGTTCTTTAAAGTAAAACAGATAACAAACGAAGTATGATCTTTCCAACGCCCATCTTGCCCTGTAATCTGCAAACTGCAAAACTGAGGACAGCAAGGGGAACTCAGCAGGAAACAAACTTGATCCAAGATACAAAGAGTCCAGGTACAAGAGCTCACATCACAAGAGTTCACGTTTGTTCCCGGCAAATGCCCCACCCCACAGCGTCTCCTTAAATGCCTACTCCCCAGGTGTGCCTTGTAAAGTAGGGCGTGACGCTCTCCTCCCGAGCAAGTGAGCCTGCCTCCGTTGTTCCCTCCTCCTCTCTGCTCTCCTTGCTCTGGGATTAGGTGGGGAGGGGCCTTGCTCCTCACCTGAGCTCTGCCTTTCCTGTTCCAAACTTGAAGGGCCCTGGCCTGCTTCAGCCTGTTCCTCCCCACAGTCCTCCGAAGCCACAGACACCCCCTCCTGGGCCTCAACAGGGAACTCCATGTCGTCCTCAGAGTCAGGCTCGGACGGAGGCATGACACAGGGTCTCTGTATGAACCAACATCCCATTGTCCCCCTTCCAACAAGCTTTGCAATTTAGAGGTGGAGTGGGCAAACCAGGAGCTGCACACAGGTAGCCCTCGACTTACGACCACAATTAAGCCCAAAATTTCTGTTGAAATTGAAATATTTGTTAAGTGAGTTTTGCCCCATTTTACGACTCTTCTTGTCATAGTTGTCAAGGGAACCGCTGCAGTCGATAAGTTAGTAATCAGGTTGTTAAGCGAATCTGGCTTCCCCACTGACTCTGCTTGTCGGAAGGACCCAAAAGGGGATCACGTGACCCCCCCAGGACACGGCGACCGTCATAAATACGAACCGGTTGCCAAGCGTCTGAATTTCGATCACGCGACCCTGGGGGATGCTGCAATGGTCATAACTGTGGAAAACAGTCCTGAATCCTTTTTTTCAGTGCCGCTGTAATTTTAAATGGTCATTAAACAAACCGTTGTAAGTTGAGGGCTGCCTGTATTTACGGATGAAGTTCATATGCATATAAATGTAATAAATAAATAAAATTTGTGTGCATCAGTCCTAAGTCCCTTTTTTCCAGTGCCATTGTAACTTTGAAATGAACTGTTTTAAGTCAAGGACTGCCTGTATTTCCAGGAGTGGATTTCATGGCCATGGTGTGTGTGTGTGTGTGTGTGTGTGTGTGTGTGTGTGTGTGTTTGTGTGAGTGACATGTCAGCTCTCAGCTCAGGGATGGGACCCGCAGTCCCGAACAATGCAATCTGTGATCTCTCTTAGGGATCAGGGGATTTGCTGGCTCCATTGACTCCGGCCGCGGTTCCATTTATTGTGCCTCCTGCATCAGCAAAACCCCGGGAGGAGAGAGGGGATGCTTGGCAACGGGTGGGTGCCAGAGGCTTCTGCCCCATTGTCGGCCATGTCACCTGGCTGACAATGTGCTGCACAAAGGGCTCTATAAAAGTGGCTGGCCCTCAGTGTTTTCGCCTGAAATTGGCTGCTGCTGCTGCTGCTGCTGTGGGCGAAAGGCGCATGGAAGAGAAAGCCAGAGGCATCGGGGGGGACTCGAGCACTCGTAACGGGCTTCTATCTCGGACCATGGTTGGTCCCTTGATCGGCTACTGAAGGTAAGTGAGAGAAAGGGAGACTTGGGCGGAAATCGGGAAGGCTTCGCTCACACCAAGGGGGCTTCATGTTGCTCTAAGCCATCATTGTATTATAAACTACGACACTCTAAGCCGGGGTCTCCAACCTTGGCAACTTTAAGATCTGTGGACTTCAACTCCCAGAATTCCCCAGCCAATTGTGCTGGCTGGGGAATTCTGGGAGTTGAAGTCCACAGGCTTTAAAGTTGCCACGGTTGGAGACCCCGGCTCTAAGCTAAAACCAAGCAAGCCACTTAGATCAGGGCTTCCCAAACCTTTTCCTTCGTTACCCCCAAACTGCTGATCAGAAAGTTCTCCTTTAAATCTCCAGATTGTGATTGGGTTTCTATAATTAACTAAAACACCCACTTTTGTCCAATTTTGGATCATTTACCCAAGTTTAGGAAGCACTGGCTTTAGAGTGATGTGTGAAACCGTATTTTTAGCACAAACCCCCCCGTCTGAATAAAGAAGTTTTTTAAGGCGGTGAGATGTTCAGAACAGGAACGTATCAATATACTCAGGGTTGAATTGTGGGGTCCTTGGTGCTTTCTGAGCTTGGGGGTTTTCTTACTTTTAGACCACTGAGTCTCCACCTTGGTAACTTGCAGATGTGTGGACTTTAACTCCCAGAATTCTTTGCTGGCTGGGGAATTCTGGAAGTTGAAGTCCACAGGTCTTCAAGTCGCCAAAATTGAGAAACACTATTTTGCACAATGGCGCTTTTCCAATTTTAAAGCTGGTCCAGTAAATTCCTCTGCACGAATTAGTTTCCACTTTTCATTTGGGTGATTTTTGTAGCCCTAGCAGGACAGCTGGGCGCATAAACCACTTAAACTAGACCATTAGATTAATCCATTGTTTAAATTTGCACCACATTGCACCACATATACTACCCCAAATGACTATGCTTGTGTGTTTTGTTAAAGCTCAAAAATCTCGCCAGAGTTAAAGTAAACCAACCTTAACACCTTGTCTTGAAAGCAACATTACAGGTAATACTGAACTTACAACAGTTCATTTAGTGACCATTCAAAGTTACAACGGCACTGAAAAAAAGGACTTATGACCATTTTTCATACTTACGACCATTGCAGCATCCCCAGGGTCACGTGATCAAAATCTGGATGCTTGGCAAATCTGGTTAATATTTACGACGGTCGCAGTGTCCCAGGGTCACGTGATCCCCTTTTGCCACCTTCTGACACGCAAAGTCGAGGGGGAAGTCATGTTGCTAACTTACTAACTGCAGTGATTCCCTTAAGAACGGTGGCAAGATAGGTCGTAAAATAAAGCAAAACTCACTTAACAAATGTTTCAATTAGCAACAGAAATTTTGGGCTAAATTGTGGTCGTACATCGAGGACTGCCTGTGCTTTGTTTTTAGAGTTGGGACCATTGGAGACAACGATGCAGCTTGATATTTCTCTCCCTGTCTTTGTATGTTTTCACTTGGCAGAACTTCTGTGACTGGGATACTGCATTAATTTAGAAAACCCTGTTCTCCCAAAGGTGAGGAAAATGTGATTATTGTTGTAACTGTGATGAGAGTGCGGCACTGTGAGAAACATTAACATCTGTGTAGGGTTCTGGTGCTCTTTGTGCAAAATTTGTTCTGGCAAAGAACAAGGGAGGGATTTCTCCCCGTGATCAGCAATTATTTGGATTGTGGATTGGGTGATGTGCAGTTTAAAAGTATCGTTAATCGGGGTGCTGGTTACCCAGGGGCTCAACCTCTATAACTTTAGGATAGGTAGACTTTGACTCCCAGAATCCCTTAGCCACTATTCTCTGCAACTCTGGCTAGTTGAAGAGAACTCTGGGAGCTGAAGTCCACATATCTTAAAGATACCGAGATTAAGAAACCCTGAGCTAGCTGTCCAGATGAAATGGGGGATTCTGGGAGTTGAAGTCCACAAACATCTTAAAGTTGCAGAGGTTGAGAAACCTCGAGCTAGCTGTCCAGATCAAATGGGGGATTCTGGGAGTTGAAGTCCACCCAGGAGGGGGGAATCCTGGGAGTCGAAGTTCACCCATCTTAAAGAACCTGAGGTTGAGAAACACTGAGTTAATTTGCCAGGATCTAAGGGGAATTCTGGGAATTGAAGTCCACACAAGGAGAAAAGGTCCATCTGGACCACTCTTTCCTAGCTTTTGATGAGCAGCAAAACCAAAGAACAGTGGTTGCCCCCACCCCATCAAAAATCAAGAGGAGAAAAAGAAAAAAATGATCTTGAGTGGGCTGATTTTTCCAGTTTGCAGAATTCCCCCCAGCCCTTTCTTCTTCCACAGGAGATCCTGTCGGAGCGTCAACACCACCAGGGTCCATGATGTTCGGTTGGATGGGAGGGGCCCTGCTGTGCGCCGTTTCCGGGCTGGTCCTCCTCATTGTTGCCACAGCGACGGACTTTTGGATGCAATACCGATACTCTGGCAGCCTCAGCAACCAAGGACTCTGGCGCTTCTGTGTGGGAAGCAAATGTCACCCGCACACCATCACCCTCGGTGAGGACACCAGGTTTGGGGGGCTGGAAAACAGGGGTGGTTTTCAATGCACCCTCCTAAGAGTCCCTTGGGCTGGCTTAGTGCAGGATTATCCAACCATAGCAACTTTAAGACCCGTGGACTTCAATTCCCAGAATTCCCCAGCCAGCATGTCTTAAAGCATGTCTTAAAGACTAGGGAATTCTGGGAGTTGAAGTCCACAAGTCTTAAAGTTGCCATGGTTGGACACCTCTGGTTTAGTGCATCCTCTGAGCATCTGTACAGGTAGTCCTTGGCTAACAACCCTTCATTTAGTGACTGTTCAAAGTTACAATGCTGAAAAAAGTGACTTAGGACCGATCCTCGCACCTACGACTATTGCACAGTTCCATGGTGATGTGATCAAAATTTGGGCACTTGTCAACCAGCAGTTATTTATTTGTTTGTTTATTTATTTATTTATTTAATTTGTATACCACCTTTATTACTTCTGCAATTACTCAAGGCAGTAAACAAATCCAACACACCTTCCTCCTCCTATTTTGCCAATAACAACAGCCCTGAGAGGTGGGTTAGGCTGAGGTGGGAGCCCAAATTCACCCAACTGGCTTTCATAATTAGGAGGGTACTAGAACTCTCTGTATCCCACTTTCTAGCCTGGTGTCTTCTCCATGTGGAGAAGACACCAGGCTAGAAAGTGGGAGACAGTGAGTTCTAGTCCCGTCTTAACCATGAAAGCTTGCAATGTCCTAGGATCACAGGATCACCATTTGCGATCTTTCAAGCTGGCTTGCCACCAGTAAAGTCAATGAAGGAAGGTGCATTTGGCTAATGACTACATGATTCAGTTAACAACTGCAGCGATTCATTTAACAAGCAAAGCAAAAACGATTGTGACCATCAGAACTCTGGAACCGGGTTGTGAGTAACTCTGGGAAGGACCATCATGACTTTGAACAGTTGTTCAAAGTGGCTGGCCGTTAAGAGAGGACCATCTGTGCTGACTTTCTTAGCTGGAAGCTAAGTGTTGTGTGAGAGAACCCACAGGCCTTGCTCTCCCCACACAGCTTTCTGGGATGCCACCCGAGCCTTCATGCTCATCTCCATCCTGTCCTCCTTCGCCGGGATCATCCTGGAGCTGATGACCTACTCTGGCACCAACCGCTTCTCCCGCAGTCGCTCTGCAGGGGTCACCCTCTTGATTGCAGGTAGGTGGGGCTGGCTGGGGAATTCTGGGAGTTGAAGTCCGCCCATCTTCAAGTTGCCAAGCTTGAGAAAGAGCGCTCTGTCCTGGGATGGCAAGCAGTGTACTTTTGAGCACCTAGAAATGAACAAGGTGATTACTAGAAGCCAACATGGGTTTGTCAAAAACAGATCATTCCAGACAAAACTTATTGCTTTCTTTGACAATTAGTGGATCAGCAAAATGCTGTGCAGATAGTATACTTGGACTTCAATAAGGCATTTGATAAAGTAGACCACAACCTACTTCTTGTGGGACAGAGAGTATCATCACAAGATGGATTTGCAACTGTGTGACTAACTGCACTCAACGAGCCATCCTTAATGGAACTACATCTACATGGAGGGAAGTAACCAGCGGGGTACCCCAAAGTTCTGTCTCGGGCCCAGTACTCTTCAACATCTTCATAAACTATTTAAATGAGAGGATAGAAGGGGAACCCATCAAATTTGCAGATGATGCCAAGCTGGCAGGAATAGAAGATAGAAGATTCAGAACAATTTTGACAAACTTGAACATGGGCAGGATCAGAAGTAATGGGTGGATACTAATCAAAGAGAGACCCAGCCTACAACTAAGGAGGAATTTCCTGACAGTGAGAACAATTAATCTTTGGATTAATTAATTAATCAGCTCCAGGAGTTGTGGGTGTTCCAACACTGGAAGTTTTTAAATAGAGACCGAACAGCCATTTGTCCAGGATGGTATATAGAGTCTCCTGCTTGACTAAGCGGTTGGGCTTAGTTGGACCTCCGAGGTCCCTTCAAACCCTCTTAGTCTATGTTCTATGTCCTAAGTCTAGTTTGATATTTCCCCCATATTTAGATCATGCATTTTGTTCCCAGGACTCTTCGCCTTGCTGGGCCTCTCCATCTACACCGGCGTGACCGTGAATTTCTACGGCAAGCGCTACGCTGACTGGCGCTTCTCCTGGTCGTATATTCTGGGCTGGATCGCTGTTCTCCTGACCTTCTCAGCAGGTATTGGTGCTCTGTGAGTGTGCAGTGAAGTTCCCCTCATCATTGTTCGGTTAGTAACACAGCTGTTAAGCGAAACTGGCTTCCCCCTTGACTTGGCTTGTCAGAAAGTCGTAAAAAGGGACCACGTGACCCCAGGACACTGCAACCGTCATAAATATGAATCAGTTGCCAAGTGTCTAAATTTTGATCACGTGACCCTGGGGATGCTGCAACAGTCATAAGGGTGAAAAACGGTCATAAGTCACTTTTTTGGTGCCATTGCAAATTCAAACGGTCCCTAAACGAATTGCTGGAAGGCGAGGACTACCTCTACTGTGTGCTGGCGCATGTGTTTGTGTTGGCTACAAACTGTGTCCTTGGGAACTCCACCGTTCACCACCTCTCTCCTTTCTCTCCCCAGCTCTCTTCCACTTCTGTGCTGTCCGCAGAAATTTGTCCACGGGTGGATCCGGCGGGACAAGTGGTTGACTCACCCTCCTTCCTCAAGTCCAATCCAGCCAGACTCCAACGCTCCCCCCGTGCAATCACGTGGCCCCCTCCTCCATGTTCTTCCTCCTCTGCCAGCTCCCCCCAGTGGGTTGGTTAATGCCGAGAGGCCAGTGTAGGTAGTCCTCGACTTACTCCACAATTAAGCCCAAAGTTTCTGTAGCCCAAGTGAAATATTTTGCCCCACTTTATGACCTTTCTTGTCACTGTTGTTAAGTGAATCATTGCAGTTGTTAAGTTAGTAACACGCTTGTTAAATGAATCTGGATTCCCCATTGACTTGGCTTGTCAGAAGGTCACAATAGGGGATCACACAACACTCCCCCCCCAGGACACTGTAACCGTCATCAATACGAGCCAGTTGCCAAGCGTCTGAATTTTGATCACGTGACAGGGGATGTTTCAATGGTCATAACTGTGAAAGTCACTTTTTTCAACTTTAAATGGTCACTAAACAAATTGTTGTAAGTCAAGGACTACCAGTACAAAGACTGAGGAAATGCAGCACAACTTTTTCACATTCACTTATTGCACAAAATCACAGTCCCCAGTCCATGAAGTGCAGTGGCCAGGTTCACACAGCAATTCAGGAAGGAAGGAACATCTGGATACACGCATCTTCTGGGACTGCTCAGCAAATTGAACCATAAACTAAGAGACTGGGTGGGTATGCGGTCACGCAACTCCACAAGACCCACAAAATGTTATTCCAGTTTAGAATATTGTCTCTACCGGATGAAGTATGTTGTGAGAATCCAACTGTGGGGCTGTGCAAATTCCCTGCCCTTCCTCCTAAGACTCTCTATCTGTTTTTTCAGTCATTCTTTGCATGTGCAAAGTTCCTTTTCCTTCTCCTTCACTCCAGAGAAGATGCTTTGGGTATGTAACAACGGGAAGACAATAAACAAGTACAATCCAGTGTATCATGCTTGTGTGTCAGTAGTATTGTTCTATTTGCTTAAAGGATGGCCAAATGCATAAGAGGGCAGAACGGTTGCAGGAGCTGGATGTGTCTAGTCTGGAGAAAAGAAGGACTGGGGGGGACATGATAGCAGTATTCCAGCATTTGAGGGGCTGCCCCAAAGAAGGGGGGGGGTCAACTTATTCTCCAAAACATCAGAAGGATGGGAAAGTACTAAACAAGAAGAGGAGCAATCTAGAACTAAGGAGAAACTTCCTAATGGTGAAAATAATCAGCCTAATGAAAAAGAGGACTAGGGGTGACATAGTGGCAGTATTCTGGTATTTGAAGGGTTCCTAAAAAGAAGAGGGAGTCAACCTATTCCCCAAAGCACCAGAAGGCAGGACAGGAAACAACGGCGGGAAACTAATCAAGGAGAGAAGCAACCTGGAACTAAGGAGAAATTTCCTGACAGTGAAAATAATTAACCAGTGGAACGACTTGCCTCCAGAACTCCTCCAAGGTCCCATGATTCTATGAGCTTGGACAGAGGGTGGATTAGATTAGAAGACCTCTAAGGTCCCTTCCAGTCTTGTGATTCTTTGATTCAGCGTGTGGTCCTCAATGGAACCACATCTACATGGAGGGAAGTGTGTAGTGGGGTGCCCCAAGGCTCTGTTCTGGGCCCAGTGCTCTTCAACATCTTCATCAACGATTTGGACAAGGGGATAGATGGGGAACTCATCAAATTTGCAGACGACACCAAGCTGGCAGGAATAGCCAACACTCCAGAAGACAGGCTTAAGATACAGA